ACAGTATCTGCACAGTTCCCTGGAGTTGAACCCGTGACCTGCACGATAGCCAGTGGTAAGTAGGTCGCCGTAGGTTGTAGGCTGTAGGGAGATTCAAACTGTAGACCTGTAAGGTAGGAGTCCAAGTAGAGTCCAGAGGTCTTTTAGAAGGTCGGCAAGTGGTCAAGTGGTGAGTCTAAGGTAGGCCCACGTTTTCAGACGAAGACAAGTGGCAAGGTCAACAGGTAGGACCTAAGTGCAACTACACTGAGGCGACGGTACGACTACCTACAGTCAGCAGAAAGGTCTAGAGAGTCCCAGTCCAGTCCAGCAAGTACCACAGGGGGACTGTGAGCACCAAGGGCCAATGGCAAAGGGCAGACCAACGAATTTCTGAAGTATAAATCAAGAGGCAGCGCCCAGCCATTCATTCATTCCTGCGTGAGCCATGCGGAAGCGCTGCCACAGCGACTTGTTCAAGGAGGTCTGCAGATGAGCCCGGAGGACGCAGTGGGCTAGAGAGAGGGAGTTAGCATAGCGATAGGGTAGATGCAGCGACAACTGCCGTAGCTATAGTTAGTAGTGAGTGTGTGTGTGGGTTCGAGTGTTAGAGTGATGCGTGTGGGATATCCAGGGTGATCCAGTGTATGTGAACAGTGAGATGTTTGGGCGCTGAAGTCGCCATAGCCAATTGAGAGTGAACTCGTATCTAAAAGCCATATCTCTGAGTTTTGAGTGGGCCCATGTCGCCAGTATGCTGCGTTACTGTTTACATGCATGAAAAGTGTGTTTGAAAACGAGTCTGATTGCACCTACTAGCATATGAGTGAAAAGCAAGAGTTGGAATAAGACCAAATCACAAGTTTGAGCAAGAGATCATCCATAGAAGAATCGGAACACTACCTACAAGTATGTGAGTGAAAAGCAAGAGTTGAAGTAAACCAAATCACAAGTTTTGAGGAAGAGATCATCCATAGAAGAATCGGAGCACTACCTACTAGTGTGTGAGTGAAAAGCAAGACTTGAAGTAGACCAAATTACAAATTTTTAGCATGAGATCATCTATAAAAGAATCGGAGCGCTACCTACTAGCATGTGAGTGAAAAGCAAGAGTTGGAGTAGACCAAATCACAAGTTTGAGGAATAGATCATCCATAGAAGAATCGGAGTACTACCTACTGGTATGTGAGTGAAAAGCACGAGTTGGAGTAGACAAAATCACAAGTTTTGAGCAAGAGATTATCCATAGAAGAATTGGAGCACTACCTACAAGCATGTGAGTGAAAATCAAGACTTAGAGTAGATCAAACCAGAAGTTTTGAACATGAGATCATCCATAGAAGAATCAGAGCACTACCTACTAGTGTGTGAGTGAAAAGCAAGACTTGGAGTAGACAAAATCACAACTTTTAAGCATGGGATAATCCATACAAGAATCGGAGCACTACCTAGTAGTGTGTGAGTGAAAAGCAAGACTTAGAGTAGATCAAATCACAAGTTTTGAGCATGAGATCATCCATAGAAGAATCGGAGCACTACCTACTAGTGTATGAGTGAAGAGCAAGACTTAGAGTAAATCAAATTACAAGTTTTGAGCATGAGATCATCCATAAAAGAATCGGAGCACTACCTACTAGCATGTGAGTGAGAAACAACAGATAAAGTAGACCAACTACGAAGAAGAAGAGGAAGAAGAAGAAGAAGGAGATGAAGAAGGAGAAGAAGAAGAAGAAGAAGGAGAAAGGGAAGAAGAAGAAGAAGAAGGGTAAGGGGAGAAGGAGGAGGAGAAGAGGAAGAAGAAGAAAATGAAGGGGGGGGAGAAGAACAAGGAGAATGAAGAAGAGGAAGAAGAAGGAGGAGAAGAGAAGATAGGAGGAGGAGGAAGAAGAAGAAGAAGAAGAAAAGAAAAGAAAAGAAAAGAAAAAAAAAAAAAAAAAAAAAAAAAAAA